TACACAAGCTTATACAGTATTAAATACATACTATGTTAAGTTGCTCTCAGTAGTGTTGGGTTCTGCACAACTAGAAATGTTTCAATCTATGTTACCACTGCCAACAACTTCAAGCATCAGTGTCTATTAATAATATTGCCATCTAAAGCACCTACATTTTCTATGAACAGTCGTACCATCTAGCACACCTTGACTCTTGCAAAGTTACCACTCAAGGCACATTCTTTCTACTAGCAGAAATACCATATAAGCCACCTTTACTGTCTACTAGCAGAGTTACTAAGTATAAACAAATTCTACTTACACATAAAGCAGTCTAAGTATTTGCTACTCATCTTGGCAATAGTTATTGCTGCATTGTAACATTTGAATTAATCTTTCTATAATTATTTAATTTTATTTCACTGTGTTTTATATAAATATTTTTTTTTACCGACAGTTGAAGGTACGGATATAGAGGCATAGTGCCAACAAGTGTGGGTAGAATAACAAGTGTCATTCAGGGTTGACTATTATCAAGTAATACAATGTTTTTAACATATACTTACAAAGAATGCTTTAAGAATTATTTAGAAAATCTATGGTCTCTCTCAAACCCTTAAAGGAAACATTCCTGCAAGATCAGTAACTTCTAGTAATGGCACTGATCTACATACATGTATTCTAGCAGGTTCTCGAGCCAAGCACATCTCCCAACTACTGGGCACCACTACCAGTGCTCACCTTCAGCTTTCTGGTGACCTAATCAACAGCATTAGAAATCAACAAGCTTAAAACTCGCCAGCTACAGACTAGGTTATAGATTTACTCCCAAGGGAATTCAGACCAGATAAGGATGTTTGTTCATCTTGTCTAGCTTTTATGGGCCTAGCCAAACTCTACTCTTTTGCAACATCTGTTACAAACATTTGGCAAGGCAATAGAGTTCACCGTAAGTGTTCTAGTTGCATGCAAACTTCTACATGGAGACCCTAAAGATGGGTTTTCCATCATCATCCCATCACCATAACTGGTTATACTGTGTGGATGACACCCATTATTACAACTAGAAGATTCAACCTTATAAACCTAGAAAAAGGTCTTAATTTTCTTAAACCTTTCATACAGCTCATTTTGGAAGGAGAGAGAATACATCATTTTCTAGACTTCTTAGTTTTTAAAACAGTTCAAATTTTGAAATTTAAGGTTTTCCATTAATCGACTCATAAAAACAATATTTTACACCTCCCATTATGAAAGAAAGACATAACAAGGAATCTTGATCAGCTTTTTTTTTTTTTTTTTGACTGCCTAAAGAGTGTGGGGGCCTCAAAATTTTAGAAGAGGAATACGACACAAGTATAAAAATCTTCTCCACAATACAAATTCTGTCACAATTCATCAGAGACTGTAAACAGAGGACCCAGCAAATCCTATTTACTTCAACAGAAGGCAAGCGAGATATTCTCCTCATGTTCCAACAGGCAACATCATAGATATAATTATCAAAGTAATCAAAAGTGATACTAACGTAGCAATCCGAAACATTACCAGATCTGGACATGGGCTATCAAAAACAACACACAAGACAGAGTATAGACGCCAGGATTCGGGAAAACCAGGATGCTTATAGGACTCGTAACACTAACAATGTGTCATTCATAGGAACAAACATGTATATCTAATGTCGTAAACAGATGCCATTCATTTTATTAAAGAGGATAGAGACCAATGACAGTGCATGGACTCAGCAGTCATTGGCGCAACCAATAAGAGTGAAAAAAAACCAGGGTGTCTAGCATACTTCCCTTCTGATGTATGACAGATGAGACCATGTAGTCCAAACTGATCAGCTGACATCTTGCCGTAAATGATCTTATGTTCAGCGAGTATGGGGGAGGTCTGAATAGCTACACACCAAATAGCCTGTGGATCGAGTTGAGTGCCCAAGGAGGAACTGGGAACAGCTAAAAGGAAATTTGAATGTGGTGCCTTCACCACTAGGAGACGAGCTTTGTCCTTCCTTGAAGCGTTGTTCAGCACTGTGCTAGCGAGTATTTCCATGACTGGATTGTCCCAATGAGACTGTGCTCTTAAGGAGGAGCTGGCCTGCTTGGAGTCTGCAAGGCTGTCCTACAGCATGGCTGCTTCGATGAACTTGGGGTCGTGAGCTCCTACAACATCTCTTAAGCATTCCGACACAATCTCCTTTACTAGCTCACTGGAAACCATACACAAGGACAGAAATGCAAGTAATGCTATCTGTGTTGCCTTGCACACCCTTATACCTCCCAGTCGCATTGGAAGTGTTGACTGGTCCCATTAGTGATCTTCCAGTGACATATTCACTGCTTTCCTAAAGACAGATCTCAGGCGTGCATCATATTCACTGAGTGTTGGGTTGTTGAAAGAGGGTGCACACCTCAAGAAGTTAATCAGTCTTGGCAGAGTTAGACGCCTTGTGAGGAGATACAGTGTCGTGAGCATCTAGATCATTTATTCTCTCCTCCCTTCTCTTCAGGTCATTCAGTTTGTCCTTGAGGACTCATTCGAGAATGAGTTAAATTGACATATTACCTCAAACTACAGCAGTACTCAACCTGCACGCTGCATCAAAGTGCTTAGTACTTATTATAGATAAATAATTCAGAGAGCCGACAAGTTTATGAGTGAGACACTTGTGTAACACTTGGGTATCTTGACTGTGGAAACGTTTCACCAACAAGTGGCTTCCTTTGTCCGGTACAGAGATGAATGGTGGTAGATGAGAAGTTGGAGGTAATCAGTCCCTCTGCCTCGGATTGATGTGTTCAGCTGATCAAGATTGATGGACTGGGGTTTGGGGTTTTCCTAGACTGAAGACACAAAATATACAATATCTGTTGTGCACATGATTGCTAACTACTGAATGACTTGATAAAAGTAAACCCTGAGTGAAATGTAGTCCTCATAATTATTTGTTCTGTATTTAGGCTTTTATATCCATACAGTTAAATGTATGTTTAGAAAGGAAAATTTTGACAGGCTGGTTAGTATGGGGAGTCAAATATCAATAAAGTTGGGCTGTTATAACATATGTTATTCCTGAGATATTCCACAGCCAAAAATAGTCTGATATGTACCAAGGTAGTATATAACTGACTTAATGTCTGACAATGAGGGAAGCAATTCTTTCCTCTCCATCACGAAATTTGTCTTGCCTTATATACCTCTCCCGTTAATGACGAAGACAATCAACAAAATTCTGATTCATTAATATTTGAAAAGTAATTATATATCAAACTAGACTTTATATTTTACTCATATTGCTTTACAGTATTAATTTAAAATAAAAAAATTCTTTCTCAAGTGATTATATTACTGTGAGCTTACCTAGAGCTATGCTACAGGAGTTTACAGTGCTCGGTGTTAAGGTCACATTTATGAAGCTGGTTTGGGGGTGGTGATCTGCTGCAAATTGCTTGCCCTTAGGAATTTACACCATCATATTGGTAATAGCTTGAAAAATTATACTGATATTGTCAAATTGACAATGTTAATCATTATTAGAACCACTGCAAATAAACAAATTAATTTGTCCATGCTATTTTTTTTTCTCAAAATCTAGCAAGAAATGTACACCCCTGAATTTTGAAATCAAAATACACTCAACAAAAAAATCATTTTGAAAAACTGCAGACAGTTCACTAGTAAGACTAGTTAAAAATATTCATTGTTAAGAAACTGCTTGTGCAGAGGAAGTCGTGCAAATATGATGTCACCAGTGTGGGAGAAGCCAATTGTGCATCAGTTTATAAGATACGAGATAGCAAGGCTGAGAGGCTGAGAGCTTTGATCCTCAGAGTTTTTTCTTTATTAAAACGGCTATGGTTTTAATGCAAGGGCTAATGTCTTTAGGGTAAGAGCTTCAGTCTGTAAGGCAAGGGCTTCTGCCTTTCGAGCAAAAGACTGTCTTTAAGGGAATTCTCCCCTTTTTTTTTTTCTTTTTTTTTTTTTTTTGGCCAAGGAAACATGCCTTCAGAACATAAATTCCTGTCTATCGGGCAAGATCTTCTGCTCAAAGTGGCCTTCACTATCTTCCCTTTGAAGCACCCTGTTCTTATTATAGTAATAAAAGGAGGGGGGAAACCTGCGAGATGAGAGGCATTCAGGTTTGATTCAAGAAAGGTGAGAGTAGGCCCAATCTGTCTGATCAAGAGGCCCCCACCAGCCTGAGGGAACCTCCCAGGAGGGGTGGTTAATCAGGTAGCTGATTAACTCTTCCTGAAATACTAAAGTCTCCCACCTCAGGTTTACAGAATTCAACAAATTGTGTGAGTCCCACCTTGCATGATTGAATTTGAAAGGGAAACAGCTTTGTTCTCATTGTGTAATTATCATACAGACCAAGGTATCAGTTCAGTGATAATGCATCCAATTTATAATCATAAAACTTCTTGCTTATAAAACTGCAACTGTTTTGGTCATGTGCAAAGCAGTGCAATAAAAAGTAAATAGTTGGAATCTGTTTATGAAAAATAATTAAAAAGCATAAATTTTAGAAAACAACTTTCAGACTAGACAGGACACTATGCACTTCATAAATGATTAAGGAGGTAAAGTAAAATGAATATTGAAGTAGATAATCGCAAGGGAAATCACCAGAGCAACAGGGAAAAGATAAACGCCAGCCTTTCCAAAGAGGATATTCCTAGAGAGCAATTTGCAGCCATACATGCCCCAAAACACCACTTATTACATTACAACTACAGGTGCAAGTGGTGGTTGTTTGGGGGAAGGGGAGGGATCAAGTGCTAGTTGTGGTGGTGGTGAAGGTGACGGAATGAATTGTGATGGCTGTTGTGGACCTGGTGATATTGGCTGTGGTGGTAGAGGTGGTTGGGGAGAGGAAGGAGAAAGGGGCTCCTACTCGCACTCTAAGTCTAGATATCTAGACCACTACTACAAGGGGCTTTCCCATACATGGGAGAGCTATAAAGAAGTGTAAGATGTGTGTGAGCTTAGCCCCGATCTCACTATACCTTTAACTCGTCTGCCTCTATGTAACCACTGTTGTCTTTGTCGTAAGCTTTCCATATCTGTAAGGGTGAGACGGGAGACACAATGACGGAAGAGACAGAGCTACAGAGACAGCTTTGTGCGCACGCACATACACGCACGCATGCACACACACACACACACACACACACACACACACACACACACACACACACACACACACACACACACACACACACACACACACACACACACACACACACACCATAACTTACTCCTGCCACCTGTTGGCAGTATTCTTACCTTAAGTTCATTACTGTCTATAAAACCATTATGGTCAGCATCATATTGTTTCCAGATCTGAAAAGGACAAATTAGGGATGTAATTGGACAGTCTGTTCCACTGCCCAGTTTGTGGTAGAGAGAGTAACATCGGAGATTAAGATGAAGAAACATCGTCATGCAAGAGACAGGGTGGTGAAGATGACTGGTGGTGGTCACTGAAGGTGATGGAACATCATCATGCAGGAGACAGGGTGGTGAAGATGACTGGTGGTGGTCACTGAAGGTGAAGAAGAAAAATGTCGCTTTAAGAAAATGGTAGTGTATAAGACTGTCATTGGAGATTCAGGTATGAGAGAGAGATGGTGGAGAAAACCAGTGGTATGAAAGGGAGGTGGTGGAGAGGACCAGTGGTATGAGAGGGTGGTGGTGGAGAGGACTGGTGGTATGAGAGGGAGATGGTGGAGAAGACCAGTGGTATGAGAGGGAGATGGTGGAGAAGACCAGTGGTATGAGAGGGTGGTGGTGGAGAGGACCAGTGGTATGAGAGGTGGTGAAGAGGACTGGTGGTATGAGAGGGAGGTGGTGGAGAGGACTGGTGGTATGAGAGGGAGGTGGTGGAGAGGAACAGTGGTATGAGAGGGAGGTGGTGGAGAGGACCAGTGGTATGAGAGGGAGGTGGTGGAGAGGACCAGTGGTATGAGAGGGAGGTGGTGGAGAGGACCAGTGGTATGAGAGGGAGGTGGTGGAGAGGAACAGTGGTATGAGAGGGAGGTGGTGGAGAGGACCAGTGGTAGAGAAGACTGGAGGAAGAAACTGAGGTAGAAGAGTCTGTAGATTTAGGATTTACTCATTATGAAGAGAAAAATGAATAAGTGGAGATAGAACACACATGTTCTAAAATCATTAAATTATGATAAAAACAAGTGGAAGACATTTTCTGCATATCATTCTCATAAGTAAGAACTTACAAGTGGGTTAACATGCAATTTAAGCTTTGAAGTCATCACGCATAATAAAACTTCGGATTCCAAACTAAATAAACCAAGTTAATGCAGAAAAAATAATTACAATATGACACATCGTCAGTTTTTGGAACTCTACATATTATATTCTTTCTGAAAATAATCTTTGCTACAGCAAGCATAAGACAACCACTGTCCTGACTCAGCAATGGTTGGTAATACGTTGATGGGTGGTTGTTTAATTGGGCTTAAAGAAAGAATTTCGACACACAAGGGGCCATTAAGAGGCACATAAGTTCCCCATCTTCTAATAACATGCTCATTTTTCCAGTATAATCTACCCTGTCTATAATTACTATCACATTTGCTTTGTCTGTAATTTTTTTTTTTTTTTTCAACAAGTTGGCTGTCTCCCACTGAGGCAGGGTGACCCAAAAAGAAAGAAAATCCCCAGAAAGAAAATACTTTCATCATTCAACACTTTCACCTCACTCACACATAATCACTGTTTTTGCAGAGGTGCTCAGAACGCAACAGTTTAGAAGCATATACAGTAAGGCCCCGCTTTACGGCGTTTTGCCTTACGGCGTTCCGCTAATACGGCGATGTCAAATTATGACCAAAATTTGCTATACGGCAAGCGGTCTTTTAAATACGGCGCCCCCACCCGGTTTGTTTACATTTTCCGTGACCACATCTACATATTATGTCAGGAAACTTTCCAAAATTTCAAATGTTTTAAAGTTACTGCATATTTTATATGTACTCTGATAATTATACTTATGTGTACCTGTACCTAAATATACTTACACACTGTGCTGGTGTGCAGGTACACATTAAAATCGCTAAGTCTCTCTCTACTCATGACGCCAATACTACGTAATAATAATCGCTCCTGGGCACACTAAATGTCTTATTTTACATCAATATAAGCATTTTCATTAATCCATCTATGATATTTTCCTCAAAATTATATATGAAACCCATTACATAGCATATAAACATGATACATACACTCAGAATAAAAATTGATGTAAATATGAGATTTGTTTACAAAGCAGCTGTGTAGGTTGTGTCAAAGAATTACGTTTTCTCTAGTCAAACACTGGGGGGTAACTGTAGAAAAATATTCTTTTCGTATGCCTTTACTCTATGTATAGCAATTCACGACCCTTGTGGGTTTAGTGCTTTTTATAATTAATAATAATTATTATTTATTATTATTATTAATAATAATAATATTATTAATATTAATATTAATAATAATAATAATAATAATAATAATAATACAGTGGAACCTCAAAAATCGAATTGCTCCCAACTCAACCAATTATGTAAGTGTATTTTTGTAAGTGCTTTTGTAAGTGTATTTTTGAGGGTCTTAAATGGACTAATCTAATTTACATTATTCCTGATGGGAATAAATTCGTTCGGTAGTGGCACTCGAACAGCCTTCTGGACCAAAGAAAGTTCGATATTTGAGGTTCCACTGTATTATCATCATCATTATTATTATTATTATTATTATTATTATTATTATTATTATTATTATTATTATTATCTTCATTCACTCTAAAAATGGTGTGTTGCTGTTTGTTTATTCTGAACTAACTTGTACAACTTGTACACAATGTAAGAGTATTTGTATTGTGAGGTAATTATTATTAAAATAAAAAAATATTGAGGTAAATGTTTTACAAACTCTTACAAATGGACGTGAATGAACTAAAAGTAGGCACATATTAATACGCATTTCGCCTGACCAAGTGATAGTCCACTACCGGTTCAGTTTGTGTTCTTACATTGTCTCAACTCTGTATCTCGTTCTCTCTCTCATTTACTCTTTCGTTAACTAGTTGGCTCTCATTGACGATGGCGTCTAAGGTTAGCTGTAATAAAAAGAGAAGTCGTAAGCCTCTTGCTTTAAGTGCCAAGTTAGAGGATGATGGTGTGCCATTTTGATTTTATTCAATAAACACCCTGCCACTCACCTCTCACACATTAATATTAATATTTTAAGGTAAGTAATAAGTGTACTCTGTGTGTATCTTACCTTTTATTGTGTTTTTAATGCCTATTTCTATTGCTAACTTAATATAAGTTAGTGTAAACTTGTTGTCTGGCATTTATTGCATATTTTATATGCTCTGATAATAATACTTGTGGAGGCAGGTGGAGGGACAACATTACATTTTCTCTGTTCAGCAATCAGCAAAAATGTGTATGAATCTGCATTTGGCCCAGTCACTCCCCCACTCCGCTTTTGTTTACAATTTTCGGCATGAATTATTCATTACTTCTACCTTCGTTTATGATGGCATCTAAAGGTAGTTGTTAGAAATTATTAAATTAAGTGAACAAGGCATGTCGATGTTAATAATATGGCTCTGGGCCACAGTGTAGGTAGCTGGTAGGTGTAGCCCAGGCAGGCTACACCTACCAGCTAAGATAAGATAAGATAAGAGTTCGTTCGGATTTTTAACCTCGGAGGGTTAGCCACCCAGGATAACCCAAGAAAGTCGGTGCGTCATCGAGGACTGTCTAACTTATTTCCATTGGAGTCCTCAATCTTGTCCCCCAGGATGCGACCCACACCAGTCGACTAACACCCAGGTACCTATTTGCTGCTAGGTGAACAGGACAATAGTGTAAGGAAACGTGTCGAAATGTTTCCACCCGCCGGGAATCGAACCCGGGCCCTCCGTGTGTGAAGTGGGAGCTTTAGCCACCAGGCCACTGGGCCACCTACACTGACTTCCTACAAATAAATACTACTTACCTCTCTTCCTATATTAAGACTACACATATTTTAAGGTAAATAATGAGTGTACTGTATGTGCATTTTACCTCTCTGGCATGTTTTAAATATCGTATATTAAGTATGAAACGGGGAGCCAGTGCTACCTACACCTGGGCTACCTGCACATGACTTCCTACAAATAAGTACTACTCACCTCTCTCCCTACATTAAGATTACAAATACTTTAAGATAAGTAATGAATTTACTGTGGCTGTATTTTACTTTGTGTGTTTTTAATGCCTAGTTCTATTACTAACTTAATATAATTTAGTGTAAACTTGTTGTCTGGCATTTATATGCATTTATAAATGGAAAAAAATGAAGTTCTGCCTTCCGGCGATGTCTGCTTTCCAGCGACAGCCTGGAACCTAACCCGTCGTATAAGTGGGGCCCTACTGTACGTATAAAGATACACAACATATCCCTCCAAACTGCTAATATCCCAAAGCCCCTCCTTTAGAGTGCAGGCATTGTACTTCCCATTTCCAGGACTCAAGTCCAGCTATATAAAAATAACTGGTTTCTCTGAATCCCTTCACTAAATATTACCCTGCTCACACTCCAACAAATCGTCAGATCCCAAATACCATTCGTCTCCATTCACTCCTATCGAACACGCTCATGCACGCCTGCTGGAAGTCCAAGCCCCTCGCCCACTAAACCTCCCTTACCCCTTCCTTCCAACCTTTTCGAGGATGACCCCTACCCCGCCTTCCTTCTCCTACAGATTTAAATGCTCTCCATGCCATTCTACTTTGATCCATTCTCTCTAAATGACCAAACCACCTCAACAACCCCTCTTCAGCCCTCTGACTAATACTTTTATTAACTCCACATCTTCTAATTTCCACACTCCGAATTTTCTGCATAATATTTACACCACACATTGCCCTTAGACAGGACATCTCCACTGCCTCCAACCACCTCCTCGCTGCTGCATTCACAACCCAAGCTTCACACCCATATAAGAGTGTTGGTACTACTATACTTTCATACACTCCCTTCTTTGCCTCCATAGATAACGTTTTTTGAC